GGAGTGCAGCTACCCACACCTTTTGCCCCTGGCGGACATTTTTTAGCTCGCCTGACCAGTCTTTCTGTATCGGCTTCTCCCGGCGCTCCCGGCTCAAGAACCGAGGGGGCTCGGTCACCTATCACGTCGCCGACTACAGAAAAGAGCTCCATCGGCATCGCGCCTGAGCCTTCTCACAGCCGTGAGGGATCCGCAGCATCTCTCAATGCGAGAAGTTCCCAGATCAACGGAGGGGCTGGACACCACAAGACCCCTTCCATCTCGGTCTCTGAAGCTGAAGGAGTCCAAAGCAAGCCTCGAGATAGAATTCCGAAAGCACTTGGCAAGCCCAGCCCGACCATCGACCTCACTCTCTTTGCACTCGTGCGCGCTATGGACACATTTGCACGTTCTGGAGCTTTCATGGGGAGCGTCTTTGGTTCAGCACGCTCAGCGGCGGCCGCAAGTCCAGCTTTGGCTTCTGTGGCGTTCGGTCCCAAAGCAGGCGCAGTACCATCTAGAGCAGCCACGAAGCAAGGCATCTTTCGGACCCTCGGTAGCTGGACGACCAGTCAGGCTGAAGGTCTGACGTTCGTCGTTTCATGCGCTGTGATCATGTGGAGCTGGTTCTATGCACCAGAACGGCTACCGCCTACTTACGTCAAGTGGATAACGAATCTTGCGACTATGGACGAGAGGCTCCTGTTCGCTCTCAGATCCCGTCACAAGAGCAATCCATATCGGTGGGACTATCAGGACACGCGTTGTCCGCCGCAAGCAATCGACTTGTGTGGTTCTCTGGCAGAGTCACTTGGTCACCCTTACGAGTGGGGAGACCCAACAAGATTGCCAGGAACAAAGCAGCAAGCACAACAAATGCTGCTCAAAGCGCGCGCAGAAGCTGCAGCAGCCAAGAGGGAAGGGCGAGCGCCAACGATCCAGCCGCATCGGGAGGGCAAGGAGCCAGGCTACATCATGAATGGCTGCAGCGGCCCTAGAGGCCGGGGAAAGATGGCGGGAATGCCCTGCGAGATTGTTCATTGCGGTGTGGGAGGCGGAAATTGCTGGGCGAATGCTGCGATACGCTGGCTCAGAGCTTGGAAAGTCTGCATGGGCATCTACTTTCCCGTACATCTGCTTCCGCGGTTGCTGTTCGATTTCAAAGGCTTTGCCAAGCAACCACTGCCAGTGCTTTTAAAGGTGCTTAAGGGCAGTGCAAGGAGCGCCAGCTTCTTGTCCACCTTCATCGCTAGCATTTGGTGAGTCGCAAAGACGGCCAGCGCCTCAGGTGCAAGCTGACTCGATCACCTCTCCTTCTTGACTGATCTCTTCACAGGTTCATGGTGTGCCTAGGAAGATCCATCTTGTTCCCGAAGCTGTTCCCTTCGGTCTCGCATTCCTTCTGGGACGCAGGCTTTGGTCCGCTCCTCGGAAGCCTGACTTGCGGCTGGAGCGTCTTCATCGAAGAGAAGCGCAAGCGGGCCGAAATGGCTTTGTACGTCGCTCCGCGCGCCCTCTTTGCCTGTGCCGAGATCGCCAAGCCTGGGTGGGTCAGCAGCGGTGCTACGGGAGCGCTCTGGACAGAAAGGTGAGTCAGATCGTTATAGAGAAGTAGGTGCAAATTTGAATTGGTGTTGAGAAAGCGGGGCAACCTTGCTCTTGCCTTGGCAGGATTTTATTCGGCCTCAGCCTCGGTATCATTACATCGGCGGCTAGACACAGACCAGATTTGCTTCGCGGAATCACCAGCACGATGGCGTGGGTCGTCAAGACTTCGGCAACAACTCGATCATCAGGTCAAATGCCAGAAGGGCTCAAGCACTCTAGATGAATACATGCACCCCGACATGCCGCCGGGGCGAAAGTTGCGATTGGGTGATCAGTCCGAATCGCAGTCTGTAGAGAAGCACAGGGGCAGTGTCGGTGGCCTTGTAGCGCCTGCTGAAAGCTTGATTGGGCCCATGATCAATCTTGGTTCTTGAAGGCACTTGTCCACTGCAGGCTCCATCGGACTGACACCTCTGACTCGCCGAGTTGTGCGCGGGCGCTTGGAACTTGGCCTGGACGCGCTTTGAACAGAGCTCTTTGATGTTGGCGGAGCTGATGTCGAGGTGCCTTTGGCTTCGAGATGCAGCAAATTGGGGTGTCGTTGCATATTGCAATCCACACCTAGGCTGCTATCTGCTGCATGCAGGATGTTGCTCGTGAGACTGTCCCTGCTGTGCAAGCTCAACAGTCCTGGCGCAATCTGCTGCTCGACGTGATCTGACGCGGAGCTGGCTTGGCTTGATGTGAATGTCGGACCTGCAATCCTCTTGCGCTTGACTTGCTTCGCCTCTTGACATTCTTGCACGGGTATGAGCTTCGCTGTGGGCATGGAGAAGATTCTGCTGGATGGCAGCAAGCCTGAAGCCTTTCGACGCTTGTTGATGCTCTCTAGTACACCTTTTTGGAGGTCCGGATCCAGCGCTGGAGCTGAACAGTGCAAGGTGGCACGACAAGCGGCTGTAGATGCGCTTGCCGGCCCAGCTAGCGGCTTGGCCACACGCTGCGAGTTCCAAGGCTTGACTGACGGCTGCAGATAGTCCAGAATGGACGTTTGCACCGTTGCTGAAGATCTCAGACTACCAATGCCCTTTGCGCCGATAGAGGGTGCGAGTGTCGATTGTTGAGATGCTCTTGTCAAGCTGATGGATGCCTCGGTCATCTGCTGCTCCTCATTTGCGCCTTTGGAGGCGGAGAGGTCATTGTGGTGTTCGCCGGCTTTCATACTGACGTGCTCGGCTAAGGAGTGTCTCTTGGAGGTGAAGAATGGCTAAGGTGCAGACCCTGTTGTGCGAGGCTCTACCGAGCCGTGTGCGGTGCCAGCTGCCGCTGGGCGCCGCTCAATGGTCAGCAGAAGCAGTTGCGGATGGTGTCGGATGAGCTTTGTCAAGTGCGCGCATGGTATCGTGATCAAGGCAAAGGCGCAGCTACTGTTGATATGCTTGGGACGTCAGACCTCTGCAAGATCTGAGCAGCTTTGAAGACATGTAGGTGACGGTGCACGATTGGGTGTATATATACATCTGCCTGACTTGTCAGTAGTATGAGTCGATGCTGCATATCTTGGCTCGTGTATACCTGATGAGACTGGCGCCTGATTGCTCTTTGCGACTTGATTCATCATCTCCTTGAGGTGGCGGCGTCTGTTTGAGGTTTAATGACTTGATTTGTGAGCAAGGTAATAGCAATGTGAGCGATTTTTAGATCTCGCACTAGGTCATTCGTGACGCAGCCTCCTCTCTCAATTTAGCATTCCAGATTCGCACTCTCTCACTACTCACGGCTCATCACTGCGACGGCCATGCAACGCCGCAGCTGGCACACCGCGGTCTCCGCATGCTCACTTATTGCTTATGCTGCCGGATCACATTATGTTCCTGATGAGACGATTGTGTAACCTAGATAGCAATTGAACACGGATCACAGCTTGTGCCGCTGCTGCTGATGCTGAATGTCCATGACGGTGCGCAACACGCAATCGATCGTTACTGCCCAGCTCTCACACCGCACTTCCTGACTCTGTGGTCTTCTGGCTACGAAGGACAAAATTGAGAGGACAATCACGCAAGCAAATGTATGTTCAGGGGACACGCAAGTCGAGCACGAGCTACGTGGGTCTATGATCTCTGCTGCGTGTTACCGATCGAGTGGCCTTCACAATCGCGAATGCTCAACTCTTCCCTTGATCGAAGTCCTCCTTTTGCTTGGGCAAAGACGAGACCTCGATGGTGGGGCTAA